GGGGGGAAAGGCGGGCGCGGGAAAGGAGAGGGAAAGGAGAGGGAGTCGGGGAAGGGTGGCAAGGAAGGAGAGAGTGGACGAAGAGGGGCAAGGAGGGAAAGGGAGAGGGAGTGGGGGACGGACAGAGGAGAAATGGATGCTCTTTTATAGAAATGGATGCTTGATTTTGAGTTTGCGTCAGGGAGACAGAAGGGAAAAGTTGCGGGAGGTTAAGGACGTTGTGGGAGGGGGGAAGGGGGCCAGGGAAGGAGAGAGTGTGGGGTGTGGGGTGTGGGGAAGGAGAGGGGATGCCAGGAAAGGAGAGGAGTGTGAGGAGGAGGAGGAAAACAGAGGGAGTAGGGGAGGAGGGGGGAGAGGGGTTGGTGAAAGAGGGGCTGGAAAGGAGAGGGAGACGGAATGGGGAAAAGGTGAAGGAGAAATGGATGTGCGATTATGACTTTGCGTTTGCAGATATGAGAGAAAAGTTGCGGGAGGTACGAGGACAGTGTGCTGTGTTGGATAGTTTTGTTGTCCTTTGAAGGGAGTAACAATTCTCTACTCATTGCTTAACGAAATGATGGTTTCTGACTGACGTGTGGATGTCTGAGTGACACGTGTAATCTTGTGTTTGGCATGTGGCGTAATGCGGAGGACACATAACATGCAATGTGTGTCAGCAGTCTCGCTTGATCAAGTGGCCCGGGGGGGGGGGGAGGGGGGGAGGGGGAGGAGGTCAGTGGAAGGGAAGGTAAGTTTGTAAGGTATGGCCACCTTACAAAATGAGACAAAATGATAATGCTGAAAGGTAGTTTCCAAGCTCCTCCAACTATGGCTTTTGAAGTGTTATGGGTGTAGGTGGCCCCCTGCTGTATTCTAGCAAGGCAGCATTCACTGCTTTGGGGGGAATGACAAGAGGATATCTGGATCTTCTTTTTGTTTTTTTGTTTTTTTTTGTAAGTTTATGTGGATCCTGTTGTAAAACTGGTAGCAGAGAGCGCGGGACACTCTGTGCGCAGTACCAATCTTTGGCACTGCAGGTTTCCGTTTCCCATGTCTAGTTCACAGGAGCTGTCCTTCTCTTCCGTGCAATTCCCCACCTCAGGCATGCAAGCCCACAAAGGGCCGCAAGCCACTTGACAGGGCAGAGGCAAGCAGCACTACATGGAAGGTAGATTTTGAATGAAACTCGCTTCGCTGCGGTCCACCCTGTGCTCGGCACCAACGGTCGCTCGTAGGTTTATAGGACCGGTTCATCTCTCCCCCCAAATGCCCACATCAACATGCAAATCTGCGAGCAAGGCAACAGCCGAGAAGCAAGCAGCAGTAACATGGAATGTAGATCTGGAGAGTGGTGACTGCTCTTATCAGCAACACTAGCACTGGCGGGTGGGTGTTTTTTTTTTTTTTTTTAAAAAGAAAAAAAAGAAAAAAAGATCTGGAGAGAAACGTATCATACTGCTGATACGCAGGACCTCAGAGGATGTCATGCTATCTGCTCTGCAGTTGGAGGCTAGGGCGGATTCCTCCTTTTACTCAGCGTTATGGGGTATTAGAAGCCGTTTCCAGCTGTTATTGCCCACCCAAGGGCAAGTCTTTACACGTTACTCACCCTTCCGCCACTGAATATATTGATTGAAATTTGAAACCAATCAATATATTCCGCTCGTCCTCTGGATGGGTGTGGCCTTTCAGTTGCATGACACCCTGTGAGGTGGGTGTTTGCAGATGCCATCTTCTTCTTCTTTTTTTTTTTTTTTTTTTTTTTTTGTGAAGATGCCAGCTAGTTGTTGTGCATACTGGAGGGAAGAATGAACTCTGATGCGTTCGAAGCACAAACTGGGGTGTCTATTTCAGCTTGTGGGAGCGGATGCACAATGTGTATTGCTCAGCTGGGAGAAAGTGGAAATGAAGGGTAGGCTAGTGTTAGTCGGATTCAGACCATACAACGGGCTAGTGTTAGTCGGATTCAGACCATACAAAGTGTCTTGTTTTTTTCTTTTTTCTTTTTGTAGGGAGTTCTCTGTGTTCCTTTCCCCTTCTTTCGGTCTCTTTACTTACTTTTCTCTTTTTTTTGTGAATGGAAATGCTGTAGTGTGATGGCTTCTCTTGTCCCGTTTCTGTCCCCAGAACGTCAATTTCTGTACGAGATCCCAACTCTGTGCTCGATGCCAAGCTGGAAACGGTTAGGCGGTTGTGAACTTGCCCGGGGGGGGGGAAGGGGGGGGGCGGGCGCAGGCAGGGCAAGGACCCAAGGACCAGTACCATGTCCCACTCTTTTTGGACCTGTGGACCATGTCCCACTTTTTTGGACCCGTCAACCAGTACCATGTCCCACTCTTTTTGGACCTGTGGACCAGTACCATGTCCCACTTTTTTGGACCCGTCAACCAGTACCATGTCCCACTCTTTTTGGACCTGTAGACCAGTACCATGTCCCACTCTTTCTGAATGGAAGGTGCTTTGAAAGCTGGGAGTAAGCTTTGGACTTAGCTGCCTGATAATTTTGCCAAGACCGTGTCCCTTGCTGTCCAACAATGAACCTTGCAGTGGAACCCTCTGAAGGGCAGCAATGAGTCTCATTAACACGACCATCTGTTACAGCTCAGTAGTTCTCCGTTAGGATGTTGTGAATACGTGTTTTCGGTTAGTAGGATGGTGTGAATACGTGTCTGTTGGGATGTCAGGCCGGTGGAAAACAAAACTTTTGGCCTTTGCCATGTGCGCAAGGTCCACTGCATCTACCACACAGGGACCAGATTGGGGTGTGGAGGATTGGGTCTGCCAGCTGTTGATGAAGCTCTTTTGCAGCAGTTTGTCCAGGCAGAAATTTCAGTGG